CCACATAGTTGCCCAATTACACAGAGCATTGAGGTCGGCTTGTAAGTTGGAGACATCCTGTAAGGACGTTTATTCCACAGCACAGCTTGGTGTCATCTGCAAAGACTGAAATGGGATTTTATAATCCCAGACCCCATATCATTTATAAATATATTTAAAAGTAAGTGTCCCAACAATGAACTCTTGGGTGCCCCACTAATAACACTGAACCTTGGGGTACACCACTAATAACACTGAACCTTGGGGTACCCCACTCACACCCCTAGACCATTCAGAGTATGAATCATTAACCACGACTCTCTGAGTACGATCCTTTAGCCAGTTTTCTATCCATTTACACACGGATTTTTCCACCCTGTAGACTTTACCTTACACATTAGCCGTGTGTGGAGGAGAACTGTGTCACGCTTTGCAAAATCCAAGATATACCACATCCACAGCCTCCCCTCTGTCCAAGTATACCATGTCCACCACCCCCTCTGTCCAAGTATACCACGTCCACCGCCACCCCCTCTGTCCAAGTATACCACGTGCACCGCCACCACTCTGTCCAAGTATACCACATCCACCGCCACCACTCTGTCCAAGATTTTGCTCACCTCCTCATAAAAGAAATCAGATTTGTTTTACAACTTCTGTCTTTCTTCAAAAAGACTGTATGTGAACACACTGCAAAATATATTCCCATGGGCAACAAGGGAATATATTTTGCAGTGTGTTCACATACAGTCTTTTTGAAGAACTCCCATTTCTGTGTTGTGTTCATTGATGCCAATATTTCCTCCCAGTCTAAATCTTGGAGAGCAGCTCTCAGCCTTGGTAAATTAGCTCTCTTAAAATTGAGCGTTTTTATTTTTCCCATATGTGTTTGTTGTTTACAGCTAACAATAAATGAAATCATGTTATGGTCACTGCTACCCAGATGTTCTTTTAAATGGACATTCGTAATAAGCTCTGCATGGTTTGAGACTACCAGGTCCAGCAGAGCATCATTCCTAGTTGGGCCTATATTGTCATCATTGTCATCATTCCTAGTTGGGCCATAAAATTGTCCTGTAGTAGGTTTATACATTTTTGCCCTTTAACTGTTCCTGCAGTGCCATTGCTCCAGTCAATTTGCGGGTAGTTACCATCCCCCATTATTATCACTGTCCCAGCCCTTGCAGCCTTTCGATCTGTCCAAGGAGCTGAGTTTCCACCTCTTCACTAACACTGGGAGGCCTATAACAAATTTAACATACACACCCGCAGAAGTTCACATGAACAGGGTACGATTATGATGCAATGTGGAATCTGCACAGAAAACGCCGTTAATTCCGCTCCGCATCTGAACCTGGGCTCAGTGAAGTCTCTGGAGCATATCAATCAGGGGGGAGGAAAGGGTGTGGATCCTGAGCTGAATGTTGGCATAAGAATCCAGAAAAGTCTGTAACCCTCCCATGGGTAATTAACTCTTTTTTAACAGAAATGACGCACTTCTCAGAGGGCAGGAAGATTTGTAGGTACTTGGAGCTCATAAGCATCAAGACTGTGCAAAAAAGAAAACATAAGGCTTTAGAAGGTTTTAACTTTTGGAAGTCTACTTCTCCTTGTGTGGCATAGCAATGGGTTGGCAACTATAGATTGATTATTCCTATAGTAAGAGATTGATCGGAAATAGAAATCATATATATATATATATATATATATATATATAATAAAAGCACTGAGCAAACTGTTGGTGCTCTATAAATCCTGTAGAGCAGGGCCCTTGATCCCCTCATGTTTTGCATTGTATTGGTATTGTTCTGTCACATGTTCTGTCTCCCTTTTGTAATGTACAGCGCTGAGCGAACTATTGGCGCTTTATAAATACTGTATAATAATAATAATAATAATAATCAAATCATGTATGACCAGCATTGGAGTGATTTCTGGGAAATGCTGCCTGGAACCACATGCTATTATACGCCCCTCCACCGTCTATCGTCTATTACTTGGCATTCTCATGTTGTGATGTCAGTCTCCCTCCTTGCAGAAATACAATAACCCAGGAGGTGGATGGTCAGCCTCATCAGAGGATCCGCAACATTATCCCCATCCTAAGGGCTCGTTCACACCTGACTTCTTCCCAAACACCCCTATAGCATTAGACAGGCATTTGGGGAGTGTTTTTAATGCTCCCCAAATGCCCTATGCGCGTTTTTGAGCCGTTTTCCAAGTGTTAAAAACCGCACCAAAAACGCCTATAAGAAAGTTACTGGTATTAATGCCTCGCAAACGCCGGCCAGGCGTTCGAAGAGCATCACCATAGGCTTGAAGAGGAGGCGTTGAAAGGCTTCAACTCCTCCAGACTGGACATGAGGCATCCATTTTGGCGCAGCGTGACACTAACGCTTCAGTGTGAACAGCACTGTGTGCTGCCATGTGTATAATGTTCATAGGTGTTTGAGGAGCGTTAAAAATGCCCCTCACATGCCTGCAAAACACCTGCCTACAAAGCTAGTGTGAACTGATCCTAACCCTCTGGTATTGAGTTGTATTGTCATTGGACTGTCTCCCTTTATAATGTAAAGTGCGAAGCAAACTGTTTGCGCTCTATAAGTCCTGAATAATAATAATAATGTGTCAGGATTTATTGTCCTGTAGAAAATACAGATCCCCGGAATCACCGTATTGCTCCATCCATACAGAAATAGTACTTAGTCCTCCTTTCTATAGACATTCTCTGTTCTGCTACATTGTGTTCTATGTGTATGCAGCTCAGGATGTGCTACAGAGCGACCAGCCTCTCCTCTAATCACTGGCCCGGCATCATGGATCATTTCCCATCACTCCCCACATCATGCCCTCTGCCCTAAGGCATGGTTCACATCTGTGCGGGTGGTGCCGCTGTGGGACCCGCACCAAAATACCTGCAGCCGCACCACCCGCACAGAGGAATGCGAGACCCGCACAAATACCTGCAGCCGCACCACCCGCACAGAGGAACGCAGGATCCGCACAAATACCTGCAGCCGCACCACCCGCACGGAGGAACGCGGGACCCGCACAAATACCTGCAGCCGCACCACCCGCACAGAGGAACGCAAAACCCACACAAATACCTGCAGCCGCACCACCCGCACAGAGGAACGTGAGACCCACACAAATACCTGCAGCCGCACCACCCGCACGGAAGAACGCGGGACCCGCACAAATACCTGCAGCCGCACCACCCGCACAGAGGAACGCAAAACCCACACAAATACCTGCAGCCGCACCACCCGCACAGAGGAACGTGAGACCCACACAAATACCTGCAGCCGCACCACCCGCACGGAGGAACGCGGGACCCGCACAAATACCTGCAGCCGCACCACCCGCACAGAGGAACCTGAGACCCCACACAAATACCTGCAGCCGCACCACCCGCACAGAGGAACGCGAAACCCGCACAAATACCTGCAGCCGCACCACCCGCACAGAGGAACGCAAAAAACCCACACAAATACCTGCAGCCGCACCACCCGCACAGAGGAACGGGAGACCCACACAAATACCTGCAGCCGCACCACCCGCACGGAGGAACGCGGGACCCGCACAAATACCTGCAGCCGCACCACCCGCACGAAGGAACGCGGGACCCGCACAAATACCTGCAGCCGCACCACCCGCACAGAGGAACGCAAAACCCACACAAATACCTGCAGCCGCACCACCCGCACAGAGGAACCTGAGACCCACACAAATACCTGCAGCCGCACCACCCGCACAGAGGAACGCGAAACCCGCACAAATACCTGCAGCCGCACCACCCGCACAGAGGAACGCGAAACCCGCACAAATACCTGCAGCCGCACCACCCGCACAGAGGAACGCGGGACCCGCAGGCAGGTGCAATTAATTCTAATGGCACGCCGCCCGCACTGGAAATTGCAACTGTACTGGGAACTGAGATTCCCATTTGGGCTGCGATTTCCGGAGAAGTGCAGGGACTACTTCCCTGCGTGTCACGGGGCACGGGAGTCCCTTCAAATGAGTGGGCTCTCGTTCCCGCACACAATGCAGCCACACATATGTAAACCTGGCCTAATACAGGATAGTTTCAATACTATTATATATATTATATCCCGTACACCCCATATATCCCGTACATCCCCTACACCCCATACATCCCGTACATCCCCTACACCCCATACATCCCATACATCCCCTACACTCCATACATCCCATACATCCCATACATCCCGTACATCCCCTACACCCCAAATATCCTGTACATCCCCTACACCCCTACATCCCATAAACCTCCTACACTCCGTACATTCCATACATATTGTACATCCCCTACACCCCATACATCCCGTACATCCCCTACACCCCATACATCCCCTACACCCCATACATCCCGTACATCCCCTACACCCCTACATCCCATAAACCTCCTACACTCCGTACATTCCATACATATTGTACATCCCCTACACCCCATACATCCTGTACATCCCCTACACCCCATACATCCCGTACATCCCCTACACCCCTACATCCCATAAACCTCCTACACTCCGTACATTCCATACATATTGTACATCCCCTACACCCCATACATCCTGTACATCCCCTACACCCCATAAACCCCCTACACTCCGTACATTCCATACATCTTGTACATCCCGTACACCCCCTACATCCCGTACATCCTGTACATGAGTGGGCTCTCGTTCCCGCACAAAACATTGCCCACACAGCCACACATATGTGATCCTAGCCTAATACAGGATAGTCTCAATACTATTATATATATATTATTTAGAATATTCAGAGGATTACCTGTTTCTAGAAAGCAAAGAAGCAGCAGAATGTGTGCAATCATTGTGTTTCTCTTGTCCTCCCCGATTAGATGTTTCTATTTTCACTTTCACTTTTAAACATTCACCCTCCTATATACAAAGTAGATCCTAGAAGGAGAACTTTCCCAGAACCAACTAGGAGAACACTGAAGACATAGAGGAAAGATGCAAAATCAATTGTGCAATAATTCCCATCGCTTATCGATACCAATCACTGCTTATTATATTGGGGTTGATTTACTGAAGGCAAATAGACTGAGCACTTTGGAAGTGCAGTTGCTGTAGAGTTTAGTAAATGACAGGAAGCTCTGCTGACTTCCATCATCCAATCATGTGCAAGATAAAATGCTGTTTTTTTCTCCTTGCGTGTGATTGGGTATTCTTTGCGAAGGGAAGTGTCATCTCATTTACTAAGCTCTGAAGCAACTGCCCTTGCAAAGTTCCCAGTCTATTTGCCCTTAGTAAATCCACCCCGTGTTAAATATTGCAACACTTTCCATATTTTAGTGTCCTTCTTAGGCAGTCATATAAATTGTTCGAGTGCCAGGCTGATTTAAAACAAAGTTTCTTCACAGTGAGAGCTGTGAAAATGTGGAATAGATTCCCTAAGAGTTGGTTCTGGCCAGCTCATTGGATTGCTGTAGGAAAGTCCTGGATTCTTTCTTGGATACACAGAATATAACTGGATATAACATTTATAGGTAAAGTTGATCCAGGGAATATCCGATTGCCTCTCGGGGGATCAGGAAGGAATTTTTTTCCCTGCAGGAGCAAATTGGATCATGCTTTGCTGGGGGTTTTACACCCCCTACACCCTGTACATCCGTACATCTGCTAAACCCCTTACATCCCATACATACTGTACACCCCGTAAATCCCATACACCCCATATATACTGTGCACACCCCATAAATCTCATACACCCCATACATCCCGTACACCCCCTTCACCCCGTACATCCCTTACACCCTGTACACCCCATATATCCCCTACACCCCGTACATCCCGTACACCCCATACATCCCGTACATCCCCTACACCCCATACATCCCGTATACCCCATACATCCTGTACACCCCCTGTTCTGGCTCTCCAATCTAAGCATTGAAAAGTGTGATCTCTGTAACTTACAGTTGTGATGAGATAGCGATAACTCCAATCTTAGTTGAATAACACAGGCAGTGACTCAATCCAGACGACACCTTGTAGATCTTGTGAAGTTTATTCCATAAACTGAGAGAATCTTACAGCAATGAACATCCGAGAGGTCAAAAGATCATAATGTGATCTGCTTCCATAAGACATGAGGCTAGAAGCTGAAATGCATTACCGGGAAAAGGGGAGGGCTATCTATACAGCATGAACTAAGCCAAAGGAAAGGGAGGAGCAGAGACAAAATATAAAGAACTCTTAAAGGCACATGACAGTCATGTAAAACATGACATTCCCCTACACACCGTACATCCTATACACCACATACATCCCATACATTCCGTACACCCCATACACCCCTTATACTCCATACATCCCATGCACCCCTTACACCCCATACATCCCCTACACCCCGTACATCCCATACACCCCCTGCACCCCATACATCCCGTACAACCTATACATCCTGTACAATCCATACATCCCGTACACCACCTACACCCCCTACATCCCGTACACTCCATACATCCCGTACACCCCATACATCCCGTACATCCCCTGCACCCCATACATCCCCTACACCCCATACATCCCGTACACTCTGTACATACCTTACACCCTGTACATACCATACACCCCGTACATCCCATACATCCCATACACACTCTACACCCCATACATCCCTGTGACGTACATGTGACATGAATGTACAGATTTGAGTAGATAAGATGTGACCTGTACAGAATATGACAATGTAAATTTAGCTCATTCTTTGTTATTAAAGAAATATTCAGTCATAAGTACACAGACAGATGGACATCAATTAGCTCATCAATTAGCACCTGAAAAGCCTGGCTTCCTCTGGAAGTGGCACCTGGGTGCTAATAAGATTTTGTCACCTATACGTAATCAGACTTGGCCACCTTCCTGAAGCTGAAAAGAGAAACACAGACATTTCGGCTTCATAACAGCAGAGGGTCTCCGATCTGTCTGGGGAGCTAAAAGAATATACATACATCAAAGGGGTATGTTTCATCCCTCATAAAAGCTAAAATATTAGTTGCAGAGAGATGAAAATACTCCCTTCTGTTTGGGCATGCTGTGGGTCACACCAACATATAAAAATCATATTTGTGGTTTAGGTAGAAGGCCAGGAAAATGCAGGCAATGGTTAGGTGGCATTGGATCACGACAGTCGAACAGTACTGTCGCGATCGGGCTGATGCGCTGGTGTTTCAAGCCAGTCTTGGCCTGATTGAACTTGGGCAGGTCAGCACCCAGAACATCCTGTGGGCAGGTACAGGAACACCCCCCAGGGTCAATTGGCTGAAGGCTAATGTCCTGCCTACGTCCATATCCCCATAAATTGAGTACCCGGACATTGGGACATTGTATTTCGTATGGAGCTGGTCGATTGACTAACGGATTACGGACTTTTTCTGACTTGCTCCAGTCGCAGGGTAAATCTCAGTAAAGTTTTACTTCTGTCTTTTATTCCCTTTTATTTTATAGTGAATAGTCTTCGTGTGTCTTCTTGTATTTTTGTATTTCTGTAACTTTTTATATTTTGTACATATTTTTTATGCACTGCCCACTTTCGGGAAATTAAATCTTAAAATTAATTAGTGACTTCTGTGTACTTAAGCACATGCTCATATCTTTGGAGAGATTAGATTGTATTGTATTTTAGTGCCTTTAAACGCTCGGTCAAGCTCATTGTCAATCTGTATGCAATTGCACTGTGTGTTGGCAGATTGCGTGCAGATTGTAAAAGGTAACAGATCTGCCAGATGGAGATCTGTGCGTGTGGGGTGTCTCAGCAGACCGTTGTACGGATAAACTGTTGGGTGGTGGCACGCTACCTTTTGTGGTGTGTCTGGTGTGGGGGTGTGTGGACAGTGGAAGGGTGATTAACACCGGGGTTCAAGCTGTAGGGTAGCTGGAGGGACTCTAGAAGGGTGTGTAATTACTAAGCTGGTCCTCAACTCTAATCAGTGCACCAGATTGTATGTAAGATTTGTATCTGCCAGTGTGTGGTCAGCCATCTGGATTGGAGTGGAGTCTCCTTCTGGTGGTGGCCAAAAGTTAGTGCGGCCTGTGAAAGTATATCACGGCTGATCTTATATACAGTTTTATATATTCAAAGTTGAGTCCCCTTTACTCCCTCTTACTCCCTGTCATGGCCGCACATGCGCACCTTGGTTAGCTAGTCACTGTGGGTGTGTGCGTGTGGGGGATCCGTGACAATCCCGTACACCCCATACATCCCGTACACCCCGTACATCCTGTACACCCCCTACACCGCATACATCCTGTATACCCCATACACCCCGTACATCCCGTACACCCCCTACACCCCATACTGTACACCCCGTACATCCCGTGCACCCCATACATCCCATACATCCCGTGCACCCCATACATCCCCTACACCCCGTACATCCCATACACTCCATACACCCCCTACATCCCGTACATTCCATACATCCCATACACCCCATACATCCCATACACTCTGTACATCCCGTACATTCCATGCATCCCATACACTCTGTACATCTTGTACATTTCATACACCCCCTACATCCCTTACATTCCATACACCCACTACATCCCGTACACCCCATACAACCCCTACATCCCATACACCCCACACATCCTGTACACCCCATACATCCCGTACAATCCATACATCCCGTATATCCCGTACATCCTGTACACCCCATACATCCCCTACACCCCATACATCCTGTACATCCCATGCATTCCCATACACC